TTTGTTCAAATAAAAGCCCTTGGGTCAAAATTGGCCTCGCCCCAGGGGGTCTTTGATTTTCCCTATATGCATATAGTAAAAACTTAAAAAATCTTCTTTTAAAGAACCCAAAGAGCTAGAGCTAAGATATTTAGCATGAAACATCTTCTAATGGGTGTCTACCAAGTTTGTTCAAATAAAAGCACTGGGGTCAAAATTGGCCCCGCCCCGGGGGTCATTGGTTTTCCCTATATGTATATAGTAAAAACTTAAAATAATCTTTTAAAGAACCAAAAGAGCTAGAGCTAAGTTATTTAGCATGAAACATCTTCTAATGTATGTCTACCAAGTTTGTTCAAATAAAAGCCCTGGGGTCAAAATTGGCCCCGCCCCAGGGGGTCATTGATTTTCCCTATATACATATAGTAAAAACTTTAAAAAATCTTCTTTTAAAGAACCAAAACAGCTAGAGCTAAGATATTTAGCATGAAACATCTTCTAATGGATGTCTACCAAGTATGTTCAAATAAAAGCCCTGGGATCAAAGTTGGTCCCGCCCAAGGGGGTCATTGATTTTCCATATATACATTTAGTAAAAACTTTAAATATCTTCTTTTAAAGAACCCAAAGAGCTAGAGCTAAGATATTTAGCATGAAACATCTTCTAATGGGTGTCTACCAAGTTTGTTCAAATAAAAGCCCTGGGGTCAAAATTGGCCCTGCCCCAGGGGGTCATTGATTTTCCCCATATGCATATAGTAAAAACTTAAAAATCTTCTTAGAAAGAACCAAAAGAGCTAAAGCTAAGATATTTAGCATGAAACATCTTCTAATGGATGTCTACCAAGTTTGTTCAAATAAGAGCCCAGGGGTCAAAATTGGCCCGGCCCTGGGGGTCATTGATTTTCCAAATTTCTTTATATGTGTATAGGAAAAACTTAAAAAATCTTCTTTGGAAAAAACCAAATAGCTAGAGTATAGATATAAAGCATGAAACATCTTCTAGTGATTGTCTACAAAGTTTGTTCAAATAAAAGCCCTGGGGTCAAAATTGGCCCCACCCCAGAGGTCATTCATTTTCCCTATATGTGTAAAACTATAGCAAAAATTGAAAAATCTTCTTTGAAAAAACTCAAATAGCTAGAGTTTAGATATTAAGCACGAAGCATCTTCTAGTGAGTGTCTTCAAAGTTTGTTCAAATAAAAGCCCTGGAGTCAAAATTGGCCCTGCCCCGGGGGACATTGATTTTCCTTATACGAGTATTAAGCAAAAACTTAAAAATCTTCTTTGAAAAAACACGAAAATAGCTAGAGTTTAGATATTAAGCATGAAACATTTTCTATTAAGTGTCTACAAAGATTGTTCAAATAAAGGCCCTGGGGTCAAAACTGGCCCTGCCCCAGGTGTGTCATTGTTTTTAACTATATGTGTAAAGAAAAAACTTAAGAAAAAAAACTTTTAAAAATCCCAACGAGCTAGACCTTAGATGTTTAGCATGAAACATTCTAATGGTTGTCTACCAATTTTGTTCAATAAAAGCCCCAGGCTTTAAACTGGCCCCGCTCCGGGGGCCTATGTACAGGTGAGCCACTTCAGGGCCATCATGGCCCTCTTGTTTGAAAAAGACTCCGAAGGCAGAGGTCCTATATACATGTAATAACCTAAAACCTAGCCTTGATTCCAGCCTGTCCATTTTTTTCATGATCAGCAAAGCAACATTATCCCAAAATACTATTGAGTGTTACATAGCACATATGTTATGAATAAGCAAAATATATCAACACCTGTATCCCAGGCTACCTAAAACCCTAATGTAACTCAACCAGTCCAGGTGTGGCTAAATGGTTAACATGTGGACCTAGTAATCTAAAGATTGTTAGTCGTCTGGGTTCAAAGCCCATTGGGGGCAAGCCGTTGTTTCCTTTACAGTTATTGCTTAGTACTGGTTGGTCCCAGAAACAGGTTCAAGAATGTTTCAATAAGCTTATAGCTTCCAACACAATCGAACTGAAATAAATTAGTATAGAAATTTCTGTATCAGTTCTAATCTAATGGATACTTACTTACTGAAAGTGGCAAAGGGAACAAAAGGTACATGTTACTGTCAATTTTCTTTGATACTATTGTTTCCATATCTCTTCTGTGGCCTTTAAACCAACATGCCTCCAGATCAATGCTAATTTTCATGAAATGAAACTAAAATTTTGTGAAGTGGACAAAGGAATTCATGTCAAATATTACCAAAATAGAGTAGAAATACGCAAAAATAGCCTTACTGCATTAGTCAAGCGGTAGAAATATGGTAATAGACAAATGCAAAATTATTCATTAATTGGGCCTAACATGTAAATTATTACTTAAATATTGAATAATTTACCTTTTTGTGTTGCCTCTACAGAGTAGTGGCGACATATAGGGATCACTTCTCCGTAGTCTGTCTGTCCGTCCGTCCGTCTGTCTGTCCGAGCAAACATTTGATTATTATGAGCTTCATTCCGTAGTTAAATAAAGAACAAAAACTCTTAAAATTCAAATTAAGAGCTGTTTTTAGCTCACCTGAGCACGAAGTGCTCAAAGGTGAGCTTTTGTCATCACTCTGCGTCCGTCGTGCGTCCTTCAAAAAATGGCGTCAAACTTTTCAAACAACATCTCCTCCTAAACCACATGGCCATAGCAACCAAACTTTATAGAAATGATCCATCGGTGGACCCCTTCCAAAGTTGTTCAAAAATTTAAATTCCAATAAAAACTCTGGTTGCCATGTTGCCATGGCAACCAATAGGAAAAACTTAAGAAAACTTCTTTAAAAAAACCCTAAGAGCTAGAGCTTAGATATTTGGCATGAAACATCTTCTAATAAGTGTCTACCAAGTTTGTTCAAATCAAAGCCCTGGGGTCAAAATTGGCCCCGCCCCAGGGGGTCATTGATTTTCCCTATATGCATATAGTAAAAACTAAAAAATCTTCTTTGAAAAAAACCAAATAGCTGGAGTTTAGATATTAAGCATGAAACATCTTCTAGTGAGTGTCTACAAAGTTTGTTCAAATAAAAGCCCTGGGGTCAAAATTGGCCCCGCCCCGGGGGTCATTGATTTTCCTTATATGTGTATAGCAAAAATTTAAAAATCTTCTTTAAAAAAACCCTAATAGCTGGAGATTAGATATTAAGCATGAAACATCTTCTAATGAATGTCTACCAAGTTTGTTCAAATAAAAGCCCTTGGGTCAAAATTGGCCCTGCCCCAGGGGGTCATTGATTTTCCCTATATGCATATAGTAAAAACTTAAAAAATCTTCTTTTAAAGAACTCAACGAGCTAGAGCTAAGATATTTAGCATGAAACATGTTCTAATGGGTGTCTACCAAGTTTGTTCAAATAAAAGCCCTGGGGTCAAAATTGGCCCCGCCCCGGGGGTCATTGATTTTCCTTATATGTGTATTGTGAAAACTTAAAAAATCTCCTTTTAAAAAACCCAATGAGCTAGAACTTAGATGTTTAGCATGAAACATCTTCTTATTGGTGTCTACCAAGTTTGTTCAAATAAAAGCCCCTGGATTAAAATTGGCCCTGACGGGGGGTTGGGAGTAGATCATTGTTTTTCATTATATGTCTGTAGTAAAAACTTAACATTGTGAAACATCTTCTAATGGGTGTCTTCCAAGTTTGTTCAAATAAAAGCCCTTGGGTTTAAACTGGCCCCGCTCCGGGTGCCTTTATACAGGTGAGCGACCTCAGGGCCATCATGGCCCTCTTGTTTTGTTTTTATGAGCTTATTTTGATTATGGACGTTGGTCCAGGTGGTGTTTATGAGCTGATTTGCCTCATAAACATCAAAAGTTGGTATGTCCGTCTGTCTGTCCGTCACAAAACTTGTCCGGACTACTCCTCATTAACTACTGGTGCAATTTCATCCAAACTTTACAGGAATGATCAGTACCAAGTCTAGTTGTGCATATTGTCAGCATTTTCCGGTTCAATGATTTTTGTCAGAGTTATGGCCCTTTAATAATTTTTAATTTTAAAGTTTGTCTGGACTACTTCTCTTATACCACTAATGCAATTTCAATGAAACTTTACAGGATTGATCTGTAGCTCAAGTCCTTGCACATATTGCACGGGTTTTCCAGTTGAATGATTTTTGGCCGAGTTACATGTATGGCCCTTTGATAAAAAGGTGTTTTTTTCTGTGTGTTGCCAGATACACAAAAGCTTGTCCGGACTACTCCTCATAAACTACTGGTGCAATTTTATCCAAACTTTACAAGAATGATCAGTACCAAGTCTAGTTGTGCACTGTCCATCTGTCTGTCCGTCTGTCACAAAATTTGTCCCAACATGAAATTAGCCATCATGAGGCGACACATGTGATTACTGATCGCTCTTGTTAAAATTCTAATAACATTTTTCTCGAATTTTATTTTCTTGATATATTTTGGCTCATCTGGAGGAATGCAGCTTTAAATTTTCTAACATGACTTAAAAATTTACCAATAGAGAAAACAATAGACATCTGCCTATATATGTGAAAAAGAAATGAAGAAATTGGACAGGATGTGCACAGTTAGTAATGAACCTTTGAATATAGCATTATTATCTTGTGGGCACAACTTATTATGTTATAAGATAATATTATGAGTTGTGACCACAAGATAACAAGCCTCTGCCGCAAAATAAAATAACACTGCAATGTCACCTCTTTGCCACCGTGAGAAAGTGCAAATGCTATGCTTGTATTTAAACCGATGTGAGGACTTTATATCTGAAAAACATTTATATTTTACACAATGGACCAAAGTACATTAAATACAAAATATATGTTGGAAGCTCAATTACGTCTTAGAGATTCATTCCCTATCAAGAGGTAAGAGAACAGTAATTATTATACATAGTTTTTACATGTAGAGACTTTTATCAAGGCTTTTAATGTGAAATCTGGAAACGACGGAATATTTTTTTTTGTCATCAAACCTTCTGTGTAACATTGATATGCCATTTAGACTAATTTCTTTTGTATCTCAGAACTGAAAAGAAGAAGATTTACTTGTGAAGAATGCGGACGAGTCTGCTCTTCTAAATGGGCATTGAGACTTCATTCCCTTAGGCATGGAGAAAAAAGCTTTCAATGTGAAAATTGTGAGAAAATGTTCTTCACAAAAACAGAACTATCCCAACATGTTAAACTGATGCACTTTGAAGGAGGTTTGTAAGCTTGTCTGAATCACTTAAAGTTCATGTGTAAGCGATTAATATGTACACAATTTATCATCCTGGCTGAGTGGTTATGGTTGCTGATCCTGAATCACTCGCCCCTCACAAATGAGTTTGATCTTTATTCTTGCCAGGGAGTTAGGATTTTTTCATGTGATGAAGTAATCAAGCTAAATTGAATGTCACATGATGTCAGTGGTTTTACTTCAGTCTTCAGTGCTTACCTGTGCCTGAATCAATGCATGGATGGGCACAGACACTTGGGGGCATGGAGTTTGAAATGCCTTAAAATCCAAATGAAATGTATATTAAAATTATTTTGTCAGTCCCAACACATACACTTATCATATATATAAAAAAACTTAATATACACTGTTTTGAAAATAAAATCATACTTCAATGTCTATTATAATATAATTATACATGTAACTAATGTTGAAATGAGAATTTTTTATCGAAACAGCATATATTAAGATTTGTACTGGGAATGACAAATATAAAAATAATAAATAATACAAGTGTTTTTGTGAATGGGTACCGGAAGTCATTCTCCACCAATAAAGCTAATCAGTCACCATTAAACCTAATGTAAAATCAGAAATTTTCACAAGAGATTAAATTTTGCTTATTTTCACAAAAGGCAGATTTTCACAAAAATAAATGCTTGCTTAATGTCATAAAAATTTAAGAGAACTGAAAGTGGAAATTATCCAATATGTTACCTTGCCAATTAGTCTGAAATGCTGCTTTTGTGAACAGTTTTGCCTCACAAAACTATCTGATTGTATGATTACACAAGTCTTTTTAAACAGCTTTATTTTCATGTGATAAAAATGAGACACAAGTACTTATTTAATAAAAAAAATGTTAGAAATATTGATCCAGAATGGCTTTATTTCATTTGATAAAAATGAAACGAAGACATTGTTAATGAAAAATATTAGAAATATTGATCCAGAAAAGCTTTGTTTCGTTTTGTAATTTGGAATAATAAATTAATGTATTCTTAGTTAAAGAAGTCATCATTAATTTCTAATATTATTATGTTGTTTTTAGAGAGAGAACCAGGTATAAAATATGCCTGCGATGACTGCGGTAAAATCTATGCAAGGAAAGATAACCTGCTGAAACATATAAGAATAAAACATGGTAAGCTTTCAATTGTTGTTCCATTATTTAATACATTTAAAAAAAATTGTAGTTTGCTTTTTCCCTACTTAACTCTTGGACATAGAAACTGATAAAAATGTTGTTTCCTTGAGCAAGAAACTTTACATTCATTACTGAGTACTGGTTGGTACAGGAACGGATTCGAGGGAGTCTCAATAAACTTCAAGCTTCCAAAACAATCAAAAAAGCTTCCAAAACAATCAAACTAAAATAAATTCTGTATAAACTAAATTAACTAAACTCAAGATTTTATACAAAAAATGTATTCAAGACAGTGTGTAAATCTCTGCAATCTGTCCAGATCATACTGATGGTTGTTTAATGTAGAACTTTGATATTGAAATATTGAAACCTCGTAAATGATATCTGTACATTTCAAAAATAACTACCAAGAGTCAGATATACAAATTTAGCATGGAAGTGTTATATTAAGACTTAGTATAGAATTAATTGGACTTGCATCATGCTTTAAACTCCCCATTATTACTTGTAAGGAAAGTGACTGTCAAAATAGTCATTTGACCTATACTGTGTTGGTGTGATGTAAAACCCAACAAAAAAAAAGAATGAAAAGTAAAATTGAGCAATTTGTAGTACCGAGTCTGGTTTTACTCGATTGGTGAGCATAAAGGCACGGCTTTATACTGATGGAATAAGTAGATCACTATTAATTTTATTGTAGTACAGTATTAACAAAAAAAGTACAACACATGTATAAATATTTTAAATTGATTGATACTACATGCATTGATATCTTTTCACAAATTTTCAGCTTGATGAGTGAACAGTATACTATCTAATTGTTTTTGAAATATTTTTTAGAGGAAGCCAACGTTTTTTTCAAATCCATTACTCAGTATTTAGTTTATACAGAATTTATAGATGTGTTTGACAATACATCCTTTAAGTTTATGGTTTCAAAATTTGTGATTATGTGTTATTTATTTCAAAACGAGGTTGTGATAATAAGCGTTTCATATCCAAAGGTACACCAGTCTTTGAAACGGATTTCATGATAGAAGAAAGCCAGAACAGGCATTGTTTGACTGAAATTGTATAGTAGTTTTCAAAACACACTGTATAATAATTGTAAGCTGCATTTATGTTTTATAAGAAAGATATTTTCCTGTCACTTTTATAACTGATGTAAATTGATAAATCACAGAATACAAGATACTGTTTAATATTTTCAGAAAAGGCCGAGAAAAGTTACCAATGTGACGTGTGCGGGAAAGGATTCTACCTAAAACACAATCTTACGATACATCAGGTTCGGCACGGTGAAAAAAAATTCCAGTGTCATATATGTGCGAAGTCATTCTTCACGATGACAGAATTAAAGCAGCACGAAAAACATCAACATTCAGGTGTGCTGTCTGTTTATAACCATTCTATGAAAGGAACGTCCTTGCTCACTCACTTATTGTTCCTGTTATTGATGATTCAAATCCAATACGGTTTTAGAAATGAATATTATTTTCAAAAGGAACTATACTATTTTTTTTAAGGATGCTACATTTACTTCGTACTTTGCATGGTTGGCAAAGTCTGATTCTGACTAGCTTGTCCACTCTATATGAAGCAGTTTTAATTGTCTATATGAATTGATGTTTATAAAGTTGATTTTGACAAATATTCTGTTGTCTGAACAGGCTAGGGGACAACCTGAGCAATACAGGCACTTGATTTTGCTGGCCCTTGATTGTAGCTTATTAAACATATGTGGTTCTACTAGGATAGCTTACTACATGTATTGTATAGGTTAAAAGAGGAAATAAATCTTGTCCTTTTGAAGATGGCAAACTTAAATTTGTTAACAAATACTGATTATATTTTACTTTATATTCGTATGTTATCATGTAAAAATAAAAATAAATGTGTATTTTTTATTATTTTTCTTCCTAGATAATTTGTATGAAAGTAAGAAATATAGTATTTTCTATTATGTAAAAGTGTTACGTGTTTTCTGCATCCTTATTGTATGTCTGGTTTTGTGTACAGTTTTAAATTGAGATATATCTTCCCCTATACAGTCCGAGAAGGAATTAGTTTGTCAGTTGATCTGTAAAATATGGGCATTTATTTCCCATGATTGCAGATGTTATTTATGTTTTTATCAGGTTAATTCCTTGCAAATTTTATAGGAGTTAACCAGTTGTTGCACTGAGGTGACCATTTACTGGTATATTTACTTCTCATGATTTGAGGTGTTATGAACTTGTTTATAGAAAGTTTTATAAAGTATTTGTAATCGGCCCTAAAAAAGTCCTCTTTTTTTTTCTTTTGTTAAGGCTTTGTCATTTTGGGATAAAATCTGGTGGTATTCTGGTTGATCTGCACAGAATTCTTGTGCAGTGTATAAACTTGGAAGATTTCTTGTGAAACTGTAATTTAAATTTGGGGATTTTCTGTGAAACTGTCAATCTTTTATTTTTCATATGTATGCATGTCTCGGATCCTGCAAAGAAATTGGTTTAATTTTTCTAATAGAATTATATAAATCTATATAATTGCAGAGAAAGCATCCAAGGACGGTAAAGACAAGGAAAAAGATTCTCAAGTCGACTATGTGAAAATGTTCAGCAAAGCAGTGAGTTGTTCAGAGTGCGGAAAACTCTTCATTCGTGGTGATGCTCTTAAACTACACATGATGAGTCATACTGGCGAGAACCCGTACACATGCATCTTTTGTGGGCTCGGCTATCGAAAGAAAAGATCGTATATCACGCACCTGCAGAACAAACACCCCGGCGAGTATGTTGATTTGGACAAAATTTAAGAACTGAAAGATTTGCAAATGAAGCACATTCATTTGGCTTTGTTTAATTTCAGAGTTATGGCATTCTAGTTTAGAGCAGTGTATATGTAAATGTGTATTTAGGCATGAAAGGTCCCATTGTCAAATGTGAAAATGGAATATTGTTAAATCAGAATTTTTCATGAGGGATTAATTTTCACTAATTTAATCAGTTGAAGATTTTTGCAAAAAATGATGTTGCCAAATATTTACCTTGGAACATTTTAAGCACTGATTACATTACTGTATTCCTAGAAAAGATTTCGCGCATTTTAAGTTAGCGCTTTTCGCGCATTTTAAGTTAGCGCTTTTCGCGGTAGACATGATAACGCGAATCTTTATAGCCGCGAATATGTCACTTATAACAAATCCGCGAACATTTCTAGTTTCAACCAAATAAAAACATAAACGTTCAGAATATTTATTATAATCTACTTACGCAATAACATATAAACACAGGTGCTATAGAAATGTGTAAAGAATTATGTAAAGTTCATCTCCTTACTAAACCACCACATGTTTTAGCTTGTAATCCATATTTACATTTCAATATACCTATAATGCACATAACAAAACAAACAAAAAACATGAAAAAAATGTCAATTATTAGTAATTATCACGCTTATTCACGTTATTTGCTAGTCACAGCGTATACAAAGCATTTACAGTTTGCGTACATTAAATGACTTGGATTTTATTTGCTTGGAGTAGGTGTAATCCTTTGTTTAAAGTACAATAGCTACATTGATAAACAGCTGTTATGTTGTTATAATGAAAGCGATGTACAGTCCAATACTGTTAAAGTAGCACAACATAACCGTCATATAAATCCAGACGTCTGGACCGGGAAAAAAAACAAAACGGGAAATTTCCTGCTACCTTTGAGTAATACACTTGTTCTTGTTAATAGATTTTAAGGTCAATCATGAATTGCATGAATTGCTGAATTATTAATGTGACATTCATAAATGGAATATCAAATACATACCGTAGTCTAAAAAGCTGTAATTTAGGCCGTAGCGACTTAATATTCACGGAATTCGCGGTTACTACAAATCCGCGAAAGTTTGTCTCCGCGAAAATGCCGACGTTGTGAAAAACGCGAAATATTGAATAGATTGAAAATATTTCACCCTTTTGGTTGGCATGTTGGATTTATTGGATACAATGTTATCATATAATAAATAAAAGGGTCTCCACCGAGATTTTTTATATTGCGGGACTGGTCCTATTTGTTTTAGAAGGACTTATCCCATTACTGTCCTAAGGTGACAAATTGCTGTCTAATTACACCTGCAACCTAAACATTTATTTAACTGACTCTAAATAAATTTACAAACAAAACTGTCTTGGGTAATATGATTAGGGTAATTTTTAGTCTTTTATTAAGGCATTTATCAAATAAAGTGTAAACTGTAATTATTATACTGATGATGAAAGCTCAACTTCCAGTATTTTCAGAATAGCAAATGCTTAAAGCAATTGATTCTTACATTGTGTTTTTTTGCACAGCTGAACTGAACATAGAAATTCAGTGACATTTAACGCCCCTAAATAAGTCTGGAATTATGAGTTTGTAAAATTATGGTCTCATGGTAAATATCCAATTTTATACTAATCTATGCATTGATTATTTAGCTAGTGTGAAAAAAAATCACATTTCTTAATTCAACTTTAGACAATTTTTTCTCAAAATCATTGAACTGATTCCATTATGACTAAAAGTGAAATTTCATTGAATATCTTTAAAAATGAGCATTTTATTATGAAGTTGTTGTATTCATAAGTAAAATTTTGCACATCTCTCATTCAGGGCTAATTTAGATGTTGATTGAACAAAGTTTGTCATTTGTTAAATTGATCAGTTTTGTTCATTTGAATTAAAGTTTTATATTCGCATGTTAATAACAGATGAGCCGCGTCACGACAAAACCAACGTAATGCGTTAGCGACCAGCATGGATCCAGACCAGTCTGCGCATCCGCGCAGTCTGATCAGGATCCATGCTGTTCGCTTACAAACCCTATTACAAGTAGAGAGACTGATAGTGAACAGCATGGATCCTGATTAGACTCCGCGGATGCGCAGGCTGGTCTGGATCCATGCTGGTCGCAAATGCATTACGTTCGTTAAATCGTGACGCGGCTCATATGTCTAATTATGATTGTAGGATTTCTATGGAAATATAAGACGAGGATTAAAAGATGAAGTATATAATAATGTACTTACTACTGACTTTAGGCTACCTATCAATATATTGAGTTTGCATCCGTTCTTTGCATTTAGATTTCAATGATTTTCTGTGATTAAAATATTTTCTGCAAGGATGAGCATAATATATATTTCAAGTGTTGGTGTCTGAAACTGCAACAAATAAAAAAATAAACATTTGCACCTTGTAAATGAGTTTAGATATACTGTTAAAGCTAAATGGGTTTTTTTTTGTGTGCGTGTTATTGATTATACTTTGAAATTAAGACAAAAATTTAGGCAAATTTGATGTAGACAGTACTTATAATAAAGGTATAGACAAAATAAAATTGAATTAGTTACACAACCCACTATTGTAACACTATCCTACATTTTATTTTTGCTACAAACTAGGGTAAACTACATGTGCTTATAATAAAAACTTCCTTGATACTGTATCATTGATGTAAAAAATGAAAAATACACTTACCGGTATTTCATTAACTTTTTTGAAGGGCAGAAAACTAGAGGCAGAACTTAGCTTCCCCAACCCAATGCTTACTGTTAAAAACGTTATCTCTCCCATTTCTGGGACATTTTTAGACAGGAAAATGCTTCTGCTAATTGTTCGAACAAACATGTGTATAAAGTAACTCACCAGGAAAAAAACATTTATTTTTTTCTGTAAATTTTGGTAAACTGATATTGAATCATGTTCACAAAAAGTCTTACACAGCATTGGTAGATTTCACCATAATGTTTAAACGAACATGCCATTGAAAAAGGATGTAAATTTTTATGAAGTCCATGTGAAATACCATTGTATTAAACTGTTTTTAAGCAATCTTTGCATTTTTTGAAAATGTACTTGTATTTTGTATATACATTGTATCTGTTCTGTACATATTTTGCTTCTCTGATATACATGTATATATATTTTGTTTTGAAGTGTCAATTGAAAAGTGTTAATGTATAATAATTGTTCCTTGATTACTCACATGATAATCATTGCAAGAAAACATACAATACAGAAGTTAATTACTGTGCAGATTGAAGGTCAAATTTGATTTCAAATTCAGTAAACTCAGTTGTCAAAATTTGAAGATAGAAAGGACCAAGATCTTGTAGGTCCTTAAAGCATACATGAGTTTTTCATGCTCAGAAGAGCTAAATAAAACAAATGTAGCTTTTAGGTTTCTTGGTCTGTTGGATTGTATTTTTAGCTCACCTGTCACAAAGTGACAGGGTGAGCTTTTGTGATCGCTTTTCGTCCGGCGTCCGTTCGGCGTCCGTCTGTAAACTTTTTACTTTAAATGACATCTCCTCATAAACCACTAAGCCAATTTCATCCAAACTTCACAGGAATGTTCCTATGGTGGTCACCTTTAAAAATTGTTCAAAGAATTTAATTCCATGCAGAACTCTGGTTGCCATGGCAACCAAAAGAAAAAACTTTAAATATCTTCTTTTAAAAAACCCTAAGAGCTAGAGCTTAGATATTTGGCATGAAACATCTTCTAGTGAGTGACTACCAATTTTGTTCAAATAAAATCCCTGGGGTCAAAATTGGCCCCGCCCCAGGGGGTCAATGATTTTCCCTATATGCATATAGTAAAAACTTAAAAAATCTTCTTTTAAAGAACCCAAAGAGCTAGAGCTAAGATATTCAGCATGAAACATCTTCTAATGAGTGTCTACCAAGTTTGTTCAAATAAAAGCCAAGGGGCCAAAATTGGCCCCGCCCAAGGGGGTCATTGATTTTCCCTATATGCATATAGTAAAAACTTAAAAAATCTTCTTTTAAAGAACTCAAAGAGCTAGAGCTAAGCTATTCAGCATGAAACATCTTCTTATGGGTGTCTACCAAGTTTGTGCAAATAAAAGCCCTGGGGTCAAAATTGGCCCCGCCCCAGGGGGTCATTGATTTTCCTTATATGTGTATAGCAAAAACTTAAATAATCTTCTAACAAAAAGCCCAAATAGCTAGAGTTTAGATATTAAGCATGAAACATCTTCTAGTGAGTGACTACCAAGTTTGTTCAAATAAAATCCCTGGGGTCAAAATTGGCCCCGCCCCAGGGGGTCATTGATTTTCCCTATATGTATACAGTAAAAACTTAAATAATCTTCTTTGAAAAAACCCAAATAGCTAGAGTTTAGATATTAAGCATGAAACATCTTCTACTAAGTGTCTACAAAGTTTGTTCAAATAAAAGCCCTGGGGTCAAAACTGGCCCCGCCCCAGGGGTGTCATTGTTTTTAACTATATGTGTGTAGTAAAAACTTAAAAATCTTCTTTTAAAAAACCCAATGAGCTAGAGCTTAGATGTTTAGCATGAAATATCTTCTTATGGATGTCTACCAAGTTTGTTCAAATAAAAGCCCTTGGGTGAAAATTGGCCCTGCCGGGGGGGGGGGGGGGGGGGGGGGTGAGATCATTGTTTTTCATTACATGTGTGTAGTAAAAACTTAACATTGTGAAACATCTTCTAATGAGTGTCTTCCAAGTTTGTTCAAATAAAAGGGGTTTATATGGCCCGCTCCGGGGGCCTATATACAGGTGAGCGACCTCAGGGACATCATGGCCCTCTTGTTTGTCATTGACTTGACCTGATTTAAGGTTTCAATTACTTAGTAAAAAGGTTTTAGTACTTCAAACTCGTCAGATTGACAAATGTTTATTCACGTGGTTGTTTCCAGCATTCTGAGATTTAAAATGACAGTAATCATGACATGTTTATAAGTAATTTTGAAACTAACACACGTGTATATCTTAACAAATATGCTGTAAATTGAAAATAAAATTGAAAATAAATGTTACATACAAATGAATATTTGTTTTGTTTTCATTGAAAAAACTTTACAGAGAAATCGCCCAATTTGTTATTGTTAAATGATGGAAAAAAATGCCTGCACTCAGGAGATCAAAAAAAAGTTTCATTAAAAAGTTTAAAAAGATCAAGAATACTCACATTTCTTATAAATAAAGAATACACAATTAAGGCAAGTCACTGCTTTAAAATTATATGCAAGTTTCATCGACTAAGGAGTCAATTACTTTGTTCGTACAAGGAAGTTTTTTAGTTTATGCGCTACATTAAATAAATATGTAAAAAATATTTTGCCGTCGACCTAAAAATCAAGCATTTTACAGTATCATTAACCTGTTTAACAGTTTTGTTGTAAACATCATCAAATATTGTTCATAAATTAGGATTTTAAACGGAAAACCCCACGGTAACACTAAAGTTCGTATACGAATTTTAACATGCAAATGAAGATTATAATCGGCTTGTGTATGCGCTACGTCACAGTGTTATAGCTGCTCAAATATGAGATTTCTTGTGCAAACACATTTTAACCGTTTAACTTCACGGTGCATTAGGCCCGAGGTTCAGTAAAATGTAATCATCTCATAAAAACAGATTGAATTTGTATGAAAACATCCGTTACAAGCAAAAACAACAACAAAAACCACTTGACCGATGTTGCAAAATTATAAATACTTGCCCCTCATTGCTGTGGGCTCAAATCCTGCCATGGACTTTGAATTCTTTCATGTGAGAAAGCTAGCAAGCTACATGGTTCTACTCCGGTGCCCTTTTTTGCCTAGAATAATCCCACAGAGGAGAACCTGAGGCGTTCCTCCACCAGTAAGGCTGGTAAGTTGCAATGTGACCTTTACAGTGTTAATATGACGTAAAACCTTACCAGAAAAAAAGAAGAAGAAAAACTGTCGCTTTACATGAAATTTATCAAATTGTAATAACAATATTCATCATTCTTCATCAGGATTTAGAGATCAAAATCATAATTTGGATTAATTCTTAAAAGAACATTTAGGATTTAACATGAAAGTCATAATTTTAGTTTGATCAATTATTCTTAATTGATTGTGATCTTCGGAATCAATTTTGCTGTGCTTAAAATATGAGGAATAGTGTATACTGGGTCAACTTCAACAAGCTATATTACATCAGGACATGAACAAGACATTCTTGCATTTCTGTGCAAAAACATCAATCCTGGGAAGAAATAAAGAAATGACCCAACATTTAAAATATTCTTGAACTTTTTTTATGAAAAAAAAAAAAAAACAACAACATTATTTATAATATCATCTTTAAACAAGAGGGCAAAGATGGCCCTAGATCGCTCCGCTGACCCATCGACTTCATCCGAGCAATGTCTAAGACAAGCATCCTGACCAAGTTTGATGACAATTGAGTCAAAAATGTTACCATTTAAGTATTAACAAGGTTTTTCCATATTTTTGCAGTGTGACCTAGTTTTTGACCCCAGGTGACCCTATCAAGCAATCATCAAAACAAAATTTCAGATCATTTTCCAGGATACTTGGATAAAAACAGTAGCCACTCGGTGTTAAAAAGATTTTTCTATTTTTAGCTCCTGTGACCTAGTTTTTGACAAGAGACAACCCATATTCGAACTTGTCCTAGAAATCATCAAAACAACCTTCCTGATCAATTTCCAGGATATTTGGATCAAAACTGCAGCCACTAAAGTGTTAACAAGAGTTTTCTATTTTTTGCTCCTGTGATCTGGACACAACCAATAATCAAACTTGACCAAGAAATCATCAAAACAGTATTTCAAATCAATTTCGAGGAGATTTGGGTCAAACTGAAGCCACTAGAGTATTATCAAATTTATCTATTATTAGCCCCTTTGACCTAGTTTTTCATCAGAGACAACACATATTCGAACTTGATCTAGAAATCATCAAAACAACCTTCCTGATCAATTTCCAGGATATTTGGATAAAAAAGCAGCCACTAGAGTGTGAACAAGAATTTTATATTTTTAGCTCCTGTGACCTAGTTTTTGACCGGAGTCAATGCATATTTGAAGTTGATCTGGAAATCATCAAAACAATTTTCCTGACAAATTTCCAGCATATTTGCATCAAAATTGCAGCCACTAGAGTGTTAACAAGATTTTTCTATTTTAGCTCCTGCGACCTTTTTTTTGACCGAAGATGACCCATATTCAAATATGACCAAGAAATAATCAAAACAACCTTCCTGACCAATTTCCAGAACATTTTAATCAAAACTGCAGCCACTAGAGTGTTAACAAGCTTTTTCTATTTTTAGTTCCTGTGACATAGTTTTTGACTGGAGACGACCCATATTTGAACTTGATCTAGAAATCATCAAAACAACCTTTCTGACAATTTTTCAGAATATTTGGATCAAAACTGCATATTTGCATCAAAATTGCAGCCACTAGAGTGTTAACAAGATTTTTCTATTTTAGCTCCTGTGACCTTTTTTTTGACCGAAGATGACCCATATTCAAATATGACCAAGAAATAATCAAAACAACCTTCCTGACCAATTTCCAGAACATTTTAATCAAAACTGCAGCCACTAGAGTGTTAACAAGCTTTGTCTATTTTTAGTTCCTGTGACATAGTTTTTGACTGGAGACGACCCATATTTGAACTTGATCTAGAAATCATCAAAACAACCTTTCTGACAATTTTCCAGAATATTTGGATCAAAACTGCAGCCACTAGAGTGTAAACAAGCTTTTTTTCTATTTTTAGCTCCTCTGAACTAGTTTTTGACCCGGGATGACCCATATTCGAACATGACCTGTATTTTATTGAGACAAACAATCTGACAAAGTTTGATTATGATCCAATCAAAACTGTGACAGCTAGAGTGTTAACAACCCAATTGTTGACGCCGGACATAGCCCCATCACTATACCTCACCTTAACCACTTCGTGGTCAGGTGAGCTAAAAAGTATATCACAATGGTCATGAAAGTACACGTCTAACATTACATCAGATATTGCTGTCCATAAAGAATTACTTTAACTTTGCCCAAATGGCAAAATTTATGTTTCTGGATAGCAATTTTAACAAGCAGATAAAGAGAAAGGCTTGAAAAACATCAAATGAACTAGATTTAACAACAAGAATTATGTAACAACAACAAAAGCAATCATATCACAAGCACAATGCATATTAATAGTTTTGCGTTCAATGATCGAATGCAACCCCCACAAGTATATAAGTTAAGTTTTTTCCCTCCACTTTTGCATAAATAATATGTAATTTCTGTGAAAAGTATTTCAAAATGTGCACCTAAAATGTCCCAAAAGCGTAAAGGGAATTTTGGTTATTACAATCATAAGCCACAGCTTCCCCCTCCCCACGAAATTTTATAGTTCCTGTCCTGTAATCACATAGTCAAGTCTATTTGAATGATAATTTCTCCTTTAACAAATATTACCCCTATATATATTATAGTCTGCATAATACGTGTGCACTGTTCCACCACATTTATTTTAAATGCCCCTTATTCTTAAGGAAAGTATGACTTTCTAATAAACTATTTTATGTTTGACGAAAAATGGAACAAATAAGATTTAGAATAGTACCGTCCATGTTTTCACAGACACCCCTACTTAATTATCCCCAACAGCTTATCTTAACCCCTTTACAAACCAAGATCTACCTACATATAGCAAGGACTAAGTAACAACATATTAAACGATTTTGAAAATTACTAATTTTAGTGATGGTAACTGAACAGTTATACAAATATTGTAAAAATATTTCTTTTGTAAAATTTACAAAATATGTTTAATCTCGCATGTAAGTTGATAGAAATGGGGACTGTAATATAACAAGCTGTAGATGTGGTTTCTTGCATGGGGGTTAACATACCAAATTCGTGTGTTGTTTATTTGTACAAACGCCCCTGTTCTTAAATTTTCTGTTGTATTTCTTGCAAACCTTATCTTTGTTTCACATTTATGTAATGCCCGTTATAACAGCATAAAAGGGTTTTGTACATCTTATATTTTCTTTTTCTAGTACGAATGCGCAAAAATCCCCATGAAAACACAAATTTAAGGACCGTATTCTAGCCTTCATCAGACTCATATCATAACTGTAAAGTAAAATTTTTGCGATGGATTAAATTTCGCTTAAAAAAGATTTTCACAATATAAATTCAACAAAACTGAAAGTAGAAATTCGCATGAATACTAGTAGGTAACCTCGCCTATCAGTCCAAAATATTGATTTCGCAAAATGTTGGTCTCGCGATAATATATGATTTTACAAAAGTTGAAAATACATGTAATAATATTTCATAACAAAAATATAAGTATATTCTGAAAACATTCACTTTTCAAAATGCACTGAAACATTCAACATTAAAGAGCGTGGTCATATTTCACGATCGTGACTGACCTTCCTCTATACTTGCGCGCCCGTCATTTGAAACACAAAAGCAGCTGTAAATAAACAACAAAGTAATGACAATTTAAGCACTTTTCAATAAATTTAACTTGACGACGAAGCTCAGTTAAATGTGAAGGTCATA